CTATGAGGACAGCTGTTGGTCCACTCCCGCTCCCTGCATCTTCTCCCTTAGCACTGAGGGTTTGATTGTATTGAAGGCACTGGAGAAATCAAAACGCATGACTCTCACAGTGCACCTGGCGCTCTCCAGATGAGAGAAGGCCCGATGCAACAGGTAGGTGACGGCATCATCCACCCTAATGTTCGGCTGGTAGCCAAATTTCAGCGGATCTATATCTCTCCCGACTAGTGGGCGAAGGTGAAGTATGATCCTCTCCATGGTCTTGCAACAGGTCTGAAGCATCATCAGTCAGGAAGAGCCACCAATAACCTCTGAATCCCAGAACTTCCAGGTGTATTAAGTGTCAGTTGATTTAATGCTAATGTCTTGGAAGGCATTAGCATTAATGTCCCATTATTGGATAATCTTGTTTAAAGACCCAGCCCGTAAAAGCTGGTTTAGAGTCTGACAGATGGAGCACATTGTAAATGAAAAAGTGGAAAGTCAGCCACCACAGAAAACCATGGCGATAACAGGATGTATTATATGAGTGTTTCTCTAGAACGACATGTCACAAACTGAGTGCATCGCTGTATTCAGTTTGTGACATGATAAGTGGCACAAACTGTTTTGGAACAGCAACAAAAAAAGAGAACTGAGAGTTTTAACTATATATTTACTCACTTCTGAATAGCTCAACAGATAGTGAGCTCTGTGAGACACATGTCACATAAAAACCTGACTCAAACTCCACCTAGTGTTATAAAAAAATATGCTTTCTGACGATGCACAGACTTAACCAGCTTAAGCTGCAGGTGACTCTTGTTTGGAGTCAGAATTGATTGGATTGGATGATTGAAGTCTGAAGAAACAAGACATATTTGCAATTTAATCACTTGTTCATTTAACAAACACTGGCCTCATTAGCCTCAGTAGCATGTAGAAGAAGCATACAGAGCCACAGCAGCCTGGCACCTGCTCCTCATACTGGTCACCAGCTCGCTCATACACTGCTGTGGCATTCTATCCTATTCCTCAACCAAATGTGGATGTGTTAGTCACCTTAGCACAGGACTAGAGGCAAGCCATTTCATCCTCTCCCCTCCCAAACACTGGAGTTATTCTCTGATAAACTGCGCTCTGTGCGGGTGTGCACTGTCATCTTGGAGGAAAGAGTCTGGTCCCAGACATCAGAAATAAAAGATTGCCACTACTGAAGAATCGTATCTCAATATCTCTCTGCACTGAAGCTGAGGCCGTCACACAACAGTCACTGAGGCAGTCACACAACAGTCACTGAGGCAGTCACACAACATCACGGAAACTGTTACCCTATTGGTGCAGCAATCAGCGTACCATTCTCTGTGTCTTCTCCACACCTTAACCCTGCGATTCAAGTGCTGTCGGAAAACTCTCAACTGACATACATAATGTCCCTGCACATGTTTAGGCTCTACTGCACATATGCTCAGACACCAACTGGCCTTTGTAGCAGTGTCCACAGGTGCTGACAGTCAAGTGCCTGAGTACCGGCATCAGCAAAAAGACAAAAGGTCAAAGCAAGTCAGTAGCAGAACAAGCTGTTTGGCACAGACATGGAAGATTTGGCAAGTTATGTAAATGAATAAGTAATTGAAAAAAAATGGAGATTTGTTTGGCCCAGTAAAAATATAAGTCATTTAAATGTAAATAATATATGAATAATATATATGATGTATTATGATATTTTGTGAGCACAGCAGCTTATATTTTAAATAAGCACATTCTTACCCTTTAGTCGCAAACGCCTCTTCCGTTTGGTCCGGATGCAACAAATGATGACAATTAGGATCAGCACCAGAACAATACCTGATGGTGAGTAATAACAGCAAATTGCATTAGATGTAAGAGTGAAAAAACAGAAGCTTTCTTATGCATTTTCACACCATAGCCCCAAATATGATGTCAAGATTTTAAGCAGAAGACAAACCTTACCTGCTCCACCACCCACAAAAACCCAGATGCTAATTCCAAATAGTGTGTCAGGAAAAGGAAAAGCTTTAAAATAAAAGGAGAAGAAAAGTATCTTGTTAGCATATAAGCTCAATAAAATGACCACTTCAGTTCACGAACATGGAAAAAGGCACATTTGAACATTTGTACACTTGATAACACATAATACGTACAGGACTTGCAGTCTTGTTGAACAGGCTGACTGGTCTCAGAGCTGACGTGGTTAGAAACATTGCAAAAGAAACGAGCATTCAGCACATCTTTGACTGGTCTTGTCAGGTCCTTGACAATCTCTTTTTCTGCCGTCTTTTTATCAACCATAAACCATTTGATCGGATTTTTTTTTTCACTCTGTAGACAAACAGACAATTAGTTAGTGGATTATTAGTTAGTTCAGATTTTAAGTCTAACAAGTCCAACCTCACCAAAATGAGAAACATAATAATCTTTTCATACATTTTCAGTAATTTCCAAGCCATAATTAAATAATACATACATAGAAACCCAACTTCCTGAAACAACATCTCTGAGTAAATGCTTGTAGACAGCACACACAAACCATGCTTGGTTTCAGTGGAGGAGAAATGAAGCTTATGCCCACATATTCTTCAACATCTTAATTATCAGTCAGTTATTTGTAGAGTACAACAATAAACAATGTCCTCACCTGACCAACATTGCAAGTAAAAGTGACTTTTGTCTTATCAGGTGAACATGTCCTCGTCACTGTGGGCTTCTGCACAGGATCTGAGTACAGAAAATGTGATTATATCAACATTATATAAACTACTGCTTTTCTACAATAACAAGTACTGTTGATGGATAAAACTGAACAGTGACTTTATAATAAAACCAAAGATTTTACTCTTAATTATAGTATCTGACTAAAACAGCTTCTGATGGATCAGCACACTTGCTTGTTGTGATATAAGTAGTACAAACATAATGAATATATGTATAATGTGTTGTTACTTACCTAATACACACAAATGCACACTTGGTAAATTTCCCCCCACATTCTCTCCGTCTGTGTAAACCTCTGGTCTGTATCGTCCTGACTTGTCTTTGGTCAGTTTTGTCAGCTTTAGTGATCCAGTTGAATCAACATCATAATTTTTCCCCATGATCACCTGTTTCTGTCTGCGATAAAAGATTACTCTTGTGTCCTTGAACCATTTCAGGTTGTCTGATTCCTTCAACTTATATCCAAGGGGCACAGTAAAGGTTGATCCTGTTGCAGCGTACACATCACAATCATCCTGAGGGCCTTTGAAACAGAAAGGAAAGTGAAGAAAGACAAACAAAAAAGATGAAAAAAATAAACTAGTCATGTTACAAAAGCTCTGAACAATTATATATCAGACCTGAGGTAAATTATGATTCTGTTAACATAAGGGCAAGTTTATGATTTTACTAGTTTTAAACTAGCAAAAATCAAAAATTCATTACATCTACAGATCTATCAAAACTAGTTGTCATGACATCATGACTGTAACTAATTGAACTATTAAGCATCAACAGTGTGGTTAGTAGTTCATTTCGAACTAACACCATTTCCTGTGCATTTTTCAGGAACTACGATGGACCACTCTTAAATTTAATGATGGGTTTTGATCAAGTTTCATTAGTTTTTTTCCCACCACTCTCTCAACCAGTTTACAGCAAAGACTTGTGTACTGTTAATGCTCAATTCCCCTGGAACTGGAAT